GGCAGGTTGCCATGGAAATGTGCATTTAGTCTCACTGTTTCCATGGCAACTGAAAGACATACCATTCCGTTCCTCTGAAGGATGCCAAAGGTAAATGAGCACTGATTAAAACAGGGGCACAATCTTGGGCTCTAATCAACCACAAAGACTAGGGCCATAAACTCTTATTGCTCAAGCAGGAAATATTAAGAGCCATACAAGTGCTGGGAAGGCCAGAGGCAGGAAGGACTGCGAACAAACTGCTCCCCACAGGGTGAGGAATCACAGCCTTGGAGTAATGGCCCATCTCGCTGTCACGAACAGCTTCAGCTGCCTCACCATGGCGTTTCTGTCCGCAGCTGGATGCTAAACCCACCCTGAGTCCCTGATCTACTGAGCTGTTTCCTGGGCAGGTATCTGCACAGATCAAAGCCAGTTGCTTTGGCTCCTGGAAACCATGCAGAGCAAATGTTCCTCAGAACCCAGCAAGATCCAAACTGCACCATTAATCCTATACCTAGCCCCTAACGGTGTTTGGTTCAAGGATTCATCCCCTTAAAAAAAAAACAGCAACAAAAAAACCCCAAAACACGACAGTAAAAAGATTACCCAAATGGAAGAGTTTGATACAATACAGGCAGCTGCAGTTTATTCTCACCAGTGCTCTGTCTCCTTGAATTGTGGCTCTTTTTCCAGGCTGGCTGACAGTCGTATCAAACACACCATTACACGAGGTTATCCTTTTCTCTGCTGCCAGTCCCTCCAGCAGCTACAGCCCGTTCCAGAGGAGCATGGCAAACACCGGGCGAGAGCTTCGGCTGCTGTGCATGAAAACATGCAAAGAGAATGAAGCATCAAAATGGTGCTATCACACCCTCTGCTAATGAGCTCGACTGCGGTGTTTGCCAGCAGAGAGGGCATGCAGCTCAGCCCTCAAGCATGTGCTGTTGCAGCTCATCCTGGAAATACAGCACGCTTGCTCTGAATTCAATAAACTCCTCTGGTCAGTCTCAGCTAAGGGTGTGAACAGTGGGGTTTATACCACTGTTTTTCACTTCCAGCTGTCAGTGGACGTTCACAATGCTTGCAAGGCTGAAGACAGTCTTGATATAAAAGCAGTTGCCTTCACAGTGTGGGACACAGACAAGAGAAGACTTCTTTCACGCACTTCTGTCTTCCTGTTATTGCCTCCTCCACCGTTCAGTGATTCCTCCCCCAGGTGCTGGATTCAGGCAAGCCCTAAGAAGGCATGAAATTATACTGCTGCGTGTGGGAAGCAGAAGCCCCAGTGGGTGTCATCCGAGGGGGTACTGGCCCCCCACCCCTGGCTGTCTTCCTCACTCATCCAACAGCTCTGTACACATACAGTATTTCACGAGGGAGAGACTAAGTTCAGCAAAATTTGCAGATGAAAATTCTGGGGTAAGAGGGCCAGTTGTTCCCCTAACACCCACCCTAGGCTGGCCCTCAGTCTTATAAGAGCCACTCACCTCCAAATGCTCTTTGTAGCAAGTAACACCACACAGAAGTCCACCGAGGTGAGCACGGTATTCTCATGCATATCCCTAAACCATGAGAAAAGAGGCATGACAAAAATCTGTCATTTCTCTACCACTGCCTGACTTGACAGCTGGAAGAGGGACTCTCAGTTAACAGGCGGTGGTAGATACCCAATCTGAAGAACAGAGCCAGAGTCACGGGCTGAAGACATGCTGGTCTTCTACTAACAAGTCCCTGCAGAGCTCCAACAAGCCCTTACCAAAGTGAGGATTTCTATTCCATCCTCTTCTACTCGCCTGCCAGTGACACTGATGATTGTACCCTTTTCCCTTGAAGTTTCATCTTAATGTACGTTTCCATAAATATCTTTCTTGATCGTTCATTCCCTGTCAGGTGGGTGAACTGAGAGAATCCTCCTTCTTCATGTGGGAGCAGAGAAAGATTTTCCACTGCAGTTTCTCATTTGCAATGAAGCAAAGACGACACCTCCAGCTCTGTACTCCTGCTTTTTCTCAGTGGTTCAGTACAAGGGCTCCCATCTATCTCCACACTGTGGTCATCTCACAGGCATGCTGTGGCAGTTCCTCACAGCCTAGGCAGAATCAAATCCCATCTAATTCTCTGCACCCTTCTCTTGGCACTGCTGGTCTTGCCCCATGGCCTATTGTGTGGTGCCACCTTTGCCCCCTAAGGCTATTCAGTGTACAAATCTTGACAGGTTGGGTTTTTTTCTTCCATAGAAGCTAGGATCTAGCTTTTTCTGCCTACACAACCAAAATTCACCAAGGTCACCTTCACCCTCCTCTGCTAATACAGCCCCTTTTGCTGACTTCTTAGACATAAACAGAAGTCTTCAATTTCTGACGTACTAACTTTTTTAAGAGTCAGGAGGACTCTGGATGTGGCAGACAGCCCTTTGCACCCATTCCCTATTGGGAGCTGGAAGACTAGTAGCTTTGGCCAAAAGATTATAGCCGCTTCCAGGAAGCAAGACTAGCCAAGCACCATGCATTGTACAGCTGGAACCTCCCCCAGCAGTTTCTCTGATCTAAAGACCACACTGCTGCAACAACAGATGAACTCAGCTCCAGTCTGCCTCCAAAACAGGCAGCTACAAAGAAACTTTTTCTTAGGTCCTGCACAGACCTGATCCAACCTCACCCCAGATAGAAATCGAAATGGCTGTACACGTCCAGCACAGCAACTCCAAAGGAGTGAGGGGTCCACCTAGCGCAGTTAGAGCAGTACTGCCAGAACCGCCGGCACAGCAAGCCACGCACGCAAGCCTCCCGGTGAGCCCGGCAACGCTGCCGGCGACAATGGCGAGGACCCAAAGCCTCATCCTCTGTAAAGTCCCTGGGACAGAGGAGGCAAGTTTTCTGAAAGGGGTGGCACTCTACATAGACATCACTTGCTTGATTTACTTCATCAGTGCAGAGTGAGTAAAGGCAGGTGGCCCATCATTAGGTTGAACAGACATGGCACATTTGAGTTTAGTAAGAAGAGTAATCCAAAATGAAGGCTGCCTGCTTACAGGGGCTGAAGGCAGGCTTCAGTTTAGGAAAAAAGCCTTGGTAGCTGCTGGTTTGCTACCTCCCCAGCATTACTGCTGCACTTTTATTTTCCATAAAGGATTTGAAAAGAGGTCAGACTGTATGAGACGGCTTAAGAACTAGAACCTGTACTTCCTGGTTCAGAAAGCAATTTCCCCTGCCAACCATTGCTGAGTTATCCCATCTGAAAGAAACTAAGTTTATCTAATATATTCTACTTACACAAGCTTTTAAGTCTTACACTTTTCAAAGGGACTTCTGGCTGACATCACATTCAAGACCTCAGAGCACAAGGGCAGGATCAAGACATCCTGCAGGGGTTTAGACAAGAATTTTAGTCACATACTTTTACTCCCTTTTACAAAACGGGACAGTGCTACACCCAGCTCCCTTTGATAGCAACATAACTAGGTAGAATTTGTTGACTGCAGGAAACAGAAATGGAAAGGCCTAAACCAAAAGACCTGCTGCTCCAAATCTCGTCCATATTACCCAAGTGATAAAGTCAGAGCAGACCACATATGAACTCTTTTATCTACAGATGAAACTAACTGGCTATCAACTCACTGAGCGCTAGAAATCAACAGGCAAATCAGTGCTCTATGTACGCACTGCTTAGTTTAAAAAGACATTTGGGAAGCTTAACAAGAAAAATGCTTGTGGCAAGCAGTCCTAAAAATCTCATGGTTTGCCATAAGCAGTTTTCTTGAGACCAAAGTCAAGCAGTGCTCCCACACTCATATGAAAGACACGAGCCTTAGACAATTTTGTTATGATCAGATAAAACACAAGAGATGGAACAAAAATAGCTTCCCTATCTCTCCTCTCACCGAGAAGCAGGTGAATCACTTTGATTTAAAAAGACATCTAGTGGCAGACAAAAAAACGCAGAAAACAACTAATCAAAAGGATGTTATTCTGGAAACTTCTAGATTTCCCATTCCATGGGAGTTTCAGAAAGGAAAGGAGCTATTTCCTTCTTTCATCAATCCAGGCACAAGTTAGGCAGAGATTAAACAGTGACGCAAGTTACGGAAAAGATTTGCAGACAATGAAGTCGAAAGGACTTGAGCACCCCGAAGCAGTACTCCAGATGCTCCTCTGCATGTGTCACCTGAACTTCCTTTCCTGCTGGCAAGGGAAGGCAGCAGACACACTATGAAACCCAAGATTTATGTAGACTTAAAATTCCAAGTCAGGTTTAGAAACAGCCTAAAATAGTCCTGGGAGATGGAGGACTGTGTATTTTATTTTTACATATACAAAGTTTTCTTTTTTTAATTAAAAGAAATAAGCTATTAATTCTTCCTACCTCAATTTTTTAGCTTCACTTACTCTGAACATGTGAAAACTTTCACGCCAGGGATTGACAGCAAAATCACTGTAGGTTCCTGAGACCAAGAGAAGCCTGCTGGGTAAGAGAACAGTGAAGTATCTGGAAAAGCCCACTGTGAGTTGGGGAGTGAAGAGCCAGCAACACTGGGAGGTGTACAAGAGACAGACTTCAAGGCCCATTCAGCTGCAAGACAAGGGATAAGCAACAGTAGCCTGAAAGAACCCAGATCCTACCCACATGTGAATGCACGAGCAATACCAATCAATCTCAAATACGTTTTTTAGTAAGAACTTCCAATAAACACACGCGCATCTATACAGCCATCTCTTGCAGAGACAAGCAGTTAAGTGGTTCCACATTCAGGACAGGATAGTCAGCACCACCTGGCCGGTGGTTCACACTTGGCTGGTGGCCAAGGTGCAGTAGATGTTCCCATGTGCGTGCTCATGGTTACTTCATGTTTCTGAAGGGAAGGCCAATGAGTCTTGGAGACAGGCTCAGTGCAGACACACACAGCTGAAGTCATGTGTAACAGCTGTGTTACAGGGTAAGGGAGATGAGAGAACAAGCAAAACCCCCCTGAAGACTGTCAGGAAGTGTCTGCAGACAGTGTCCATCCATGGGAAGTCCAGTCAGAATTTGACAGAGAAGGAAGTCCCACATGAGCAACCCTTCTCTACCTGGGGGTTGCTCACCACCTGGAAGGAGCTGCGAATCAGCTCCTGGCTGAAGTCCACCATGGAACCTTTCACGAAGGCCAGGCTGTCCACGTCCACGACCACACGGGCACCACCTTGTTCAAACACCCTGCAGAAAAGCAGCATGTTTAGCCATTAACTGTGCTGCAGACCCAACAGAGAAGCACAGCCTGAGCACATTCCTTATCTCACAGGCTTCCTCCCTTCAATCCAAGATACCATCATGTCATGCACACCCTTCTTGTCACCTTTGCAAAGAACAGTCACACCTGACCACCGCTACACGCCTTTGCCCTTGCCTGTCATCAGGATTGATAACTGTGTCCAAGGAAAACTTGTACTGGAATCCAGAGCAGCCACCTCCTTCCACCTGCAGTCTGAGAAACTCTGAGCCTTCTGT